AATGGAGGAGAAGGGATTGCAGAGTGACCATCCCCCCTGGGGGGTGATTTCTCGCTTTCTGTCTCTCTGTCTCTCTCTGTCTGTCTGGCGAGCGTACGCGCCCTATAGCAAAAACCTCTCAAAAAAAAATTATATTATTTTCGACCAGCATGTGGTGTGGTGGTTAAGGGCACTGGACTCCCACATGGCTGACTGCTGTTTGAGTCTTGGACCTAGTAGCTTGCTTTCTCTCTTTGTCCCTCTCTGGTCATATTAAAATAAATTTTTAAAAAATAGAATGATTTTATTTAACTTTTTTTTAAAAAATTTACCAGAGAGGGATATGATGAGAGAGAGAGAGAGATGGGGAGAGAAAGTGAGAAAGCAAGCCGCCAGGTCTGGTACTCAAATCACGGTTGACCATGTGGGAGTCCAGTCCCCTTAACCATCACACCACCTGCTGGCCCCAGATTTTATTTTTTAAATAATTATTTATGTATTTAATTCCATCTGTTATTATTATTATGTTTTTTAACTTGACCAGAGCGAGACAGAAAGAAGAAGAAAGCAAGCTGCCAGGTCCAGGACTCTAACTGTGGTCCTCCATGTGAGAGTCCAGCACCTTAACCACCGTGCCACCTGCCAGCTCCACCAGCCAAGCTTTTAATTTGGGAGGAAAAACAGTTACAAAAAGGCACTTACAGGGCCAGAAGGTGACGTGAAATTTAAGACAGCCGACTGCGAGGTTCCAGTCCTGGACCCTGTGGCTTGAAAGACATACGGACCCATGTGCATGTATGCCCAAAATCCCTAGAGAAAAATGGAAGAGGGGATTTTGGTGTGGCCTATTCCCCTGGGGCGGGGGGGGTGTGGTGGTGATTTCTCTCATTCTCTTGGGCAAGCGCTCGTGTGTGACACTTCTGTCTAACAGAGAGTCACCTGAATTGTGTGTGGAAATACTGCTCGAGACAGAGATCTGAGTCAAGAGGGGGAGGGAGAGGCCATCCCAGGGATGCTCCTGCTACGCCTTTCTCACCTTCCGTAGTTACTAGGGCGAAAGAGGAAGGAAAGTTCCTTCTCAGAGGATTAGAAAGTGAAGGGCAATTCCTGGACCAGCTGGTTTCCGTATGAGTAAGGGGAGGGTCGTGGCTAGATGACTCAGAGGCTGGACAGAGCGCCTTGGAGTTTGGAGGACACACTTAGCTCACATCCATCCAGTGGCCTCCTGTCGTTTGGAGCAGGAAGGCCAGAGGTCAGGCGTTCTTGCCATTTTCCCTGCAGTCTTCCGTTCAGAGTTCATAAACTCAAGGTGTTCTAGAAGCATGGTGTAAGGAATGAGCCCACCACGCGAGAAAATAGAAATGTAGAGCCTTTATTGGGAGCCCTTCCGGGCCAGGTTCACTGGTCCAAGGGGTGGGGGAGATGGGCCAGAGACCTCGCACCCCAGGGAGGGGCCAAGGGATTTTTATAGGGGTATAGGGAGGGGGAGTGTCCTAGAGGTAGAAACAGTCCATGTTCAGTAATGGCTTAGGGGAGAGCAGATTAGTGTGCCACGTAGGGTCCGATGCCGAGTGCAGGCTAGGGTGTCGTGTGCTACATCCCAGTTAGACCCGAGTGCAACCAGGTCTGATGACAGGCTAGATCCAGGTTGTATCCGCCCACTAGGGCGTGGCGTCCAAGCCCTGCATCTGGCCCAGGCCTCTGGCCTCACATCCCCAGTGTTTTGGTGTTAGAGGGCACGGTTCAATCATTAACTACTTCCTGGGGTGAAGAGGGGAAGCGGGGGGCCTGGGGCTCGGTGGGAACTTGGGTGTAGGGCTGGAGGAGCATTTGGCTGACAGCCACCTGGGAAACTTTTTGGATTCGGCTTTGGAGGAACCCGAGGAAACAGGGTGTAAGCATGAAAAGAAGGCAGATGAGAACGAACGGTCTTGAAATAAGGGTCATTTAGCTGATGAGGGTAGATTGCCACCAGGCGGGGAAAAGAGAAGTGGGCCACAAGTGGGCCGTTGCTGCCGGCGCCACAGTTCTTCACAGACAGCTGAGGACATTGATGCTTGGTTCACTCAGCCCCGTCTCCTCGACGTCGTAGTAGCACTCCTCCCTGAGGAGCAGACAGGTGCCTCCTTTTGCTGCTGTCAGTTGGAGGAGAGCGCGTCGGTTTTTTTTTTCTTTTTTTTTTTTTTTTTTGAGAGGTTTTCGCTATAGGGCGCGTGCCCTCGCCAGACAGACAGAGAGAGACAGAGAGACAGAAAGCGAGAAATCACCCCCCAGGGGGGATGGTCACGCCGCAATCCCTTCTCCTCCATTCTCCTCTCGGGATCTTGGGCACGCACGCACACGCGCCCGGCGTGAGCTTTAAGCCACCGGGTCCGAGACGCGAACCGCGGTCGACTACGTGGGAGTCCAGCGACATAGCCATTACGCTAACTGCTGGTTCCCAGAGCGCGTCGGTTTTGAAGAATTCCCTGGGCGACTGATTTGTTGCTGGAGGGAGGCCATAACTAGTTTAGAAGTGTCCCAGACGACAGGGTTGACGTCTTTAAGGGGAAGAGGAAAGGAGGAAGCTGGAGGGTAGCCCCAATAGCTGCAAAGGTTGGTGGGGGGCACCTGGCTGACTTGTCCCCCACGTGGAGGTACCGGAGATGAGTCAGCCATGGGCAGTCACTTCCCCAATGACCAGGCCGTTTGCACTTGGGGCGTGGCTTGGTGGGTGGTCGGGGACAAGGACATTGTCGAGCCCAGTGGCCCGTGTTTCCACACTTGAAGCATGGTCCCGAGGAACAGACTTAGACGAGGAAGCCCCATTCTTGTGCCCCTGTGGGGGGCTGCCAGCCTCAGGGCTGCTACCAGGGGCTGGGTTTGAAGTACCACCTTGTGGTGAAGTCGGGCTTGGCGCTCAGTCTCAGCTGCTTCCTCCTGGGCATTGTAAACCTTAAACCATTTTCACCAAATCACAGACAGGGGTCTGAGGGCCATCCTCTGCCCGTTTAAGTTTCTTGTGGTTATCAGGCACTGACGGGGTAATGAAGTGAGACGCCAAAGCCACGGCCCCCGCCAGTGAAGCGGGGTCTCAGCGTGTATAAAGCGTGAAGGCCTCTATAAGGCGATGGAGGAACACAGCTGGGTTTTCGCCTGCCCCCTGGGTGATTTCCCCGAGTTTGTCAGAATTGGCAGTTTCGTTAGAGACAGCCTGCATTCCAGACAGGAGACATTAGATCATGTAGTCGCAGTGTTCGGGGCCAGAGTCTCCTACTCCCAGTGAAGGTCGTAATAGGAACAGCCGCTTGTCTGACTGGTAGAGTCAGGTCGACCAGGCGGGCTTGGTTGGCGTGCTCTGGGGCTGCAGTCTGGACTCGCTCCCTCTCGTCTGCAGGAAGGGTGGAGGACAGGACTACACACAGGTCATGCCAGATAAGATGATACGCCCGAGTAAGATACTGGAACTCTTTGATGAAAGCCATGGCGTTAGCAGAGAAAGAACCGAGCCTTCTTTCTATTTGACATAGATCTTAGAGAGAAAAGGGAACGTGGACCCTGACAATACCTTCTGTTCCTGCCACTTCCCGGAGAGGACAGAGGAGAGAGGGGTGGGAGAAGGGTGAGAGCGTGAGCAGGTGTGAGAACTTACTGGAGGTGAGCGAGGAGGGGATGGGAGTGAAGGACATCGAGGAGGAGAAGGCAGTAGCGGTGAAAGCAGAGGAGTAGTAGGGCGGGCTGGGACTGGCAGTGCCCGAGTGGGACCGGGGTATAGTGAGGGACTTGGGGGTGGGGGGGACACCAGGAAGGAGGGGTGGTAAGAGTGGTTTGTCTATAGGAGAGAGATCGGCCTCTAAGAGAGGTTTGGTCTTAGACTGTGGGGTCTTGGTCTTGACTGAGAGAAGGGCTTGGGTGGTCGTGTAGAAGGTGCGGGAGTGGGAGGGGCGGGAGTGCGGGTCCCAAAAGGCTTGCACATATGGAACCTCCGACCACTTGCCTACTCATCGGCAGTAGTTATCCAAATTGGTGAGGGTATTGTGATCAAAAGTCCCCTCAGGGGACCAGCAGTTAGCGTAATGGCTGGACTCCCATGTAGTCGACCGTGGTTCGCGTCCCGGACCCGGTGGCTTAAACTCACGCCGGACACGTGTGCGTGCGTGCCCAAGATCCCGAGAGGAGAATGGAGGAGAAGGGATTGCGGCGTGACCATCCCCCTGGGAGTGATTTCTCGCTTTCTATCTCTCTGTCTTTCTGGCGAGCGCACGCACCCTATAGTGAAAACCTCTCCAAAAAAAAAAAAAGTCCCCTCAGGAGGCCAGGCCATTTTACCTGTGGTCCAAAGCGTACTGTGGCCGGGCCACAGTGGGATAGAATATCAGCCGCTTGCGGGGGAGATTCTGAGCGAGTCCTAATTTGGTGAAGTTATGGAGCAGACAGCCCAGGGTCGTCTTGGGCTTGTGTCTGGGACTCAGGTAAGCAGAAAAGGGAGAAGCGTCCCGAGTCTCCTTTTGCGCTCACAGAGCAGAACAAGGGGTGGGAACAAGCGGCAGGGGTTGGAACGTCTCCACGAGTCTCTGAGCTCTAGAAATCAGAGAGGACCCTGGCGTGACTACGTTTCCGGACACAGAACCTGGAGGTTTGAGTCCTGGAAACCATGGGCAGGTGGACTTACCCTCAGAGGCCAGGTGGTTGGTCGGTGGTTGGCGGGTCGGTTCCTGGTTCAGGGGAAGAGAGGCCCTGACGGGAACTGCAGGACACGAAACTCCTCCTGGGTTTCAGCACCAAACGTAAGGAATGGGCCGACCAGGCAAGAAAATAGAAATGTAGGGAACCAGCAGTTAGCGTAATGGCTATGTCGCTGGACTCCCACATAGTCGACCGCGGTTCGTGTCCCGGACCCGGTGGCTTAAAACTCACGCCGGGCGCGTGTGCGTGTGTGCCCAAGATCCCGAGAGGAGAATGGAGGAGAAGGGATTGCGGCGTGACCATCCCCCCTGGGGGGTGATTTCTCGCTTTCTGTCTCTATGTCTCTCTCTGTCTGTCTGGCGAGCGCACGCGCCCTACAGTGAAAATCTCTCAAAAAAAAAAAAAAAAGAGAAAATAGAAATGTAGAGCCTTTATTGGGAGCCCTTCTGGGAGAGGTTCACTAGTCTGACAGAGAGAGAGAGAGAGACAGGCCAGAGAAGTCGCACCCTAGGAAGGAGCTTAGCAATTTTTATAAGGGTAGAAGGAGGAGGAGTGTCTTAGAGGTAGAAACGGTCCATGTCTGGTGATGGTTTAGGGGAGAGCAGATTACTGTGCCATGTAGGGTCTGGTGCCGAGTGCGGGATAGGGTGTTGCATGCTACGTCTGTGTTAGATACGACTACAGCGCAGGTCTGATGACAGGTGAGATCCAGGTTGTATCAGCTAACTAGGGTGTGGCGTCCAACCCCTACATCCAAACTGCCCAGGCCTCTGGCCTAACACATGGCATTCATACTGTTTCCTAACATTTCCCCCCCCCAACACCTCTTTTAATATTATTGTTATTATTTTTACAAGTTCTTGCCTGAGGGTGTGTGCGCTCACTACAGATAGAGAGAGACAGAGACGGTGAGAAGGTAAGTGAGAAATCACCCCCTCAAGGGGGATGGCCACACTGCAATTCCTACTCCTCCATTCTCCTCCTGGGTTCTTGGGCAGGTACACACACATGCCCAGCATGATTTCGAAGCCACCTCCGGGACTCAAACCATAGCCATATGGCTATCCAGTGACATAACCACTACACATCTGCCGACCCATTCCCCTCTTTTGTTTTTATTTGTATTTTTAAAAGAATTATTTTATTTAACTTTATTTATTTATTATTATTATTTATTTTAATTTGACCAGAGGTAGACAGAGAGAGAGACAGACAGACAGAGACAGAGAGACAGAGACAGAGATAGAGAGAGATGGAGACATCTGGGATTCGAACTATGGTCAGCCATTTGGCAGTCTAGTGTTTTTAACCACCACACCACCTGCTGGCCCATCCTTTTTTGTTTTTAAAGAAGCTCAAATGGATGGTGGCAGGAAGAGCCAGGTAAGTAGCAAGAGCAGTCGTGATCTTGACGTTGCTGAGAGAGGCAGCAGAGGCATGGAAGGCTAGGACTAAACACAGACGAACTAAGAGTCCAGTTGCAAGATAGCCCACATTGGTAAAAGAATAGCATGGAACCAGGTAGAAGGATTTAGCCATTTGAAAGCTGTCCTGAAGTGTTTGTAAGGCTGACAGTTGAGTTTCCTTTTGTGTATCAACAAGCTGTTGATGGAGAGAAGCTGCTTTTTTTTTTATATATATATAGAATAACCTCCCTGTCTTACACCCTGCACTGTTGACTTTAGCCGAATGTGTAGTGTGTGTGTGTGTGTGTGTGTGTGTGTGTGTATGTGAGCTGCCAGGTTTGGGACTTGAACCACGGTCGGCCATGTGGGAGTCCAGCGCCTTTAACCACCATGCCACCTGCCGGCCCCAGAGAGAAGCTTCTAAATGTGATATTTGGAGAGCTGAGATTGGTAGAAAAGGCTCCTAAAAGGTGCTCTTCTATAATTTGCCATGGGTGAAGGTTCTCATTATAGAGCAAAGGTGTAACACACACTTGTTAATTTTCCCAATCACATTGCAGTGTTTGGCAAACAGTTTGGGGGTCTTGAAGATTACCTAGCCATTGTATGGCTGCTTCAAGAGCTCGAAGTTGAGATAATGTTCTTTTATCAATAGTAGTTTGTGGGACCAGCAGATGGTATAGCAGTTACGTTGCTGGACTCCCATATAGTTGACTGCAGTTTGAATCCTGGGTCCAGCGGCTTGAAATTCACACTGGGTGCATGTGCCTGTGTGCCTAAGATCCTTAGAGGAGAATGGAGAAGAAGGGATTGCGGCTTGGTCATCCCCTCCCCAGAGGAGGTGATTTCTTACTTCCTGTCTCTCTGTTTCTCTGGCGAGCACAAATGCCCTGTAGCAAAAATCTCTCTTTAAAAAAAAGTAATTTGTTCAATCATTTGTTGGGTGAGGTTTGTCATGACTTTCTCAACAGCATTGCTGTATGAATACCAGTGGTTAATGAAACCGATGCTGCTCCTTTCCAGCTGGAACCATGGAGGGCATTCACGAGAAGAAAAAGAAGGCTCCTGCTGTGGTGGAAACCTTGAGAAAAAGTGAAGGAATTTTGCGGAGTTGAAGATCAAGCACTTGAGAAAGAGGTTTGCTCAAAAGAAGCTTCGAAAGGCAGGGAGGAAGCTTATCTATGAAAAAGCTCAGCACAAGCATAAGGAATATAGACAGATGTACTCCACATGGCCAGGATGGCAAAAAAGCTGGCAACTTCTATGTACCTGCGGAACCCAAACTGGAGCTTGTCATCACCATCAGAGGTATCAATGGAGTGAGCCCAAAGGTCCAAAAGGTGTTGCAGCATCTTAGTCTTTGCCACCTTTGTTAAGCTCAATAAGGCCTCCATTAACATGCTGAGAATTGTGGAATCATATATTGCCTGGGGGTACCCTAACCTGAAGTCAGTAAATGAATGAACCTACAAGTGTGGCTATGGCAAAATCAATAAGAAGCTATTTGTTTTGACAGAGAACTATTTGATTACTCTATCTCTTGGCAAATTTGACATCATCTGCATGAAGGATCTGATTCATGAAATCTATACTGTTGGAAAACACTTCAAAGAAGCAAATAACTTCCTATGGTTCTTCAAATTATTTTCTCCACTGTAAGGAATGGGCCAACCATACGAGAAAATAAAAATGCCTTTATTGGGAGCACTCCTGGCTGAGGTTTGCTGGTCTGATGGTGGGGGGGGAGGAGTCATACCCTAGGGTGGAGTTTAGTGATTTTTATAAGGGTATAGGGACAGGAGTGTCTTAGAGATAGAAATAGTCCCTGTATGGTAAAGGTTTAAAGCAAGAGCAGACTACTGTGCCATGTAAGGTCTGGTGCCATGTGCAGAGTAGAGCACTGTTTGCTACATCTGGGTTAGATCGAGTGTAGCACAAGTCTGATGAGAGACTAGATCCAGGTTGCATCAGTCAACGGTGGTGTGGTGTCCAACCCCAACATCCAAGCTGCCCAGGCCTCGGCCTAATATCCACGAGGTGGAATAAAGAAAAAGACCACCCATTTTGTAGAAGGTGGAGATGCTGGCAACAGGGAAGACCAGATCAACAGATTTGTTAGAAGGATGAACTTAGGTATTGTTGACAGAAATAACGAACTCTGCAAAAGTAATAATGAATACAATTTATTTCTAAGCACAAATTTGAGTGACCTAGGCTCAGAGAAGAGGCAAAAGATGCCTTTCTTGGGGTGATCATGTAGAGGGGTTCCTTTCATTTGATCTTGAGAGTGAGAGACAAAGTTTGGAATTTAGTGAAGAGCTTTCCATTGGTCTGGCCCAAAAAAGTGGGACATGTGGGAGTGGGGGCTTCTAGGTAATAGGTGGGTTCCACAA